CTGAAGTGGAAATGCAAACTAGACACAATCAACTCGGGTTTGAATAAGGACTGGGAATGCCACAAGTACTCCTGTTCTTTTTGAGAAAAATCAGTAAATGAGGGGTTTGGGGTGTGGAAGAGGGCTCCAGGGTTGGGGTTGGGGTGAAGGCCCGGCTAGGGGTGTGGGCTCTGGGGTGGGGCCAGGGATGACGGGTTTGGGGTGCAGGAGAGGGCTCAGGGCTGGGGTAGGGGGGGTGCAGGCTCCAGGAAGGAGTTTGGGTGTGGAAGGGGACTTGAGGCTGGGGGTTGGTGTGTGGGAGGGAGTTTGGGGTGCAGGAGGGGGTGCAAGCTCTGGGAGGGAGTTTGGGTGCAAGGGGGGGGTCGGGGCTGGGGTAGGGGGTTAGGGCATGGGAGGGCGTTCAGGGTGCAGGCTCTGGATGGCGTTTACCTCAGGCGGCTCCCGAAAGCGGACAGAGAGGCTCTGCGTACTGCCCTCGTGCCGGCTGCAGCTCCTATTGGTCGCAGTTCCTGGCCAATGGGAGCTGTGGAGCCAGCGCTGGGGGTGGGAGCAGTGCGTAGAGCCTCCCTGGCCATCCAGGCGCCTAAGGGCTGCAGGGCCCTGGAAGCCGCTTCCAGGAGCCGCGCAGAGCCAGGACAGGCAGGGGCCTGCTTTAGCCTGGGGCCCACACTGTGCCACCGACCAGACTCTGCTGACCGGAGCCACCAGGGTCCCTTTTCGACCAGACGTTCCAGTCGAGAACCGGACGCCTGGCAACCCTACCTCTTTCCCTCTCTGGATGTTTTGTTTTGGGTCTCGCATGCAACTAGGCAGCCAAGTACCTAGCTTGGGTGCGCTTATCTTCCCCCAGTTCATGGATCACAAGCAAAGCTAGGTGCCTCCATGCAGCCCAGACTCAGGTGCTTATTTCCAATAGAGGACCAGGACTTACACACACCTCTGTTGTTGGCGTCTTCCATAAGGTATAAAGAGTTCCGTGGCACTTTATAGGCTAACAGACGTATTGGAGCATAAGCATGCATCTGATGAAGTGGGTATTCACCCACGAAAGCTTATGCTGCAATACATTTGTTAGTCTATAAGGTGCCACAGGAGTCTCTGTCACTTTTTACAGATCCAGACTAACACGGCTACCCCTCTGATACTTGATTCCATAAGCTAGTTTAGGCAGCTCCTCACCTAGCATGCAGGCTTTGTGGATCTCAATCTAAGGTGCCTATCTCTCCCCATTCATTGTATAGGGAGCCTTTGGCACCTAACTCAGGCATTGTGGATTGCAGTGTTGTTTCTGTGATTTTCTAGGCAGTGTTGTAATGCCTAAGCCCCTTTGTGGATCCCACCCTTAGGCCTCAATCTTGCAATGGAGCTCATTGCAGAATTGGGACCCTGCATCAAGTAACATGGTGGGCTGTGCTTTGCAATGTCATGCGAAGCCTATTTCTCAAAGTGGCACTCTTTTTACAAGAATCTCTTCATTAGGTATTGTTTTAAAAACGTTTCCCGATCTCTGCCTAGAGCAACTGAAGGATGTAATTTGTTCTAAAACCCACACAGCTCAGCAAAGCTGTCACTTCTTAAATGGCCATGTCTCTACCAAATATAACCCATAATGACTATGTAAGAATTTCTAAAGAACTCAGCAAATCTGAACACACTAACATCAGAGGCTAGGGAAAAAATATAAATTATTCAGAATGTAAGTGTTCAGTTTGTTCATTTACAGTAAAATACATCATGCCAGAGAAGTGCATTTCTGAGCTTATGTGCCTATACTTTCCATAGCATAATAAATGTTTGCCATTTGATGAAAGAACATGCAGTGCTTTTCATATTCATTTGACTGTTTTTGATTTTCTGTACAGAGAGATGTTCTTGTGAAATACTTCTTCAATGTGTGGTACAGTTAGATTTGTGTTGTGAGTACAATCCTGACTAAAGTTCAACATGATCAATAAGCGCTGGAATTGCCTACTTTTGATCCACTACTGTTTTACAAAATACTCCATAAGTTGTTTGAAACTGAGAGGACTCCTAAGTCTCTCATGAACTGAACAGTTTCCCCTCTCTGTAGTAGTCACTAGTAGGATAAGTATTAAACTTCTCTTCTTGGTTACATTCCTGTATTTGGTAATCTCATGAGTCTCAGAATAGCTATGGAGTTACATTAATTTATTCAGGCTAGAATGGACCCTCCCTTTGGCCTGCTTCATACCTACACCAGTGCTGAGCCCAGCCAGAGAATGAATGGAAAGGCAGTATGTCTCCCCTGTCCTGGCACTGCTAGGAGACAATCTACTGCAGCTCAGGTTAGAGTAGCTCCGAAGGCTGCTCGAATTTCCACCCCAACTGCAATGGCCCATGTGAACTATTTCAGTAGCTGGTGCTAGCCAAGACAAAGGGACATCTTGGCCACATCCTCCCTTCTCCCAGCAAGCCTTGAGCAGTGGAGGTGATATGCAGCTAGCTATGATGGTTCTGTATGTGTGCCAGGGAGGACCCCACACACTAGGAGTATTTCCTGGGGTGTGGGGTGGCGTTACAGCTACATTGCAGGAATTAATCCCCCCTTATATTAATTGTAGAAATATTATTTATATTCCTAGTGAATAGGGACCTCACCTTCAATTTTGTGCTTGGGGTTAACAGGGCAAAGGGGCTATGCCCACGGGACCCTTAACTCATATGGGCCATGTATAGTCCCCTTGTAGCTATACCAAAAAAAAAAAAAAGTGAAACTGACTGTGTCCCAAATCAGTCAAATGCATGAAATAAGCTGGAAAAAAAATCTTTCAGTAACAACAATCCTAAATTTAGCCAATAACAATAGTAGGTACAAATATTCAGAGTGTGATTTTAATGTTCGTAAAGTGCTTAGTGATTCTCAAGTGGAAGATGCTTCAGAATTGCCAAGTATAACAAGGGTTTCAGAGTGTATAATAAACAATACTGGCCTACAACTTAGATACTTATCTTCTCTTTACTTAACTCAATTTTGAATTTATGCAAAGTAGTATTATTTTAAATACTAAAATATTTTGATTTTATCCATGTATGTGTAATCAAATTGGTGGGGTGAGCTGTATAGGCAGTTATTCACTCCAGCCTTTCTCACTGCTACCAATAGCGCTCAGATTGGGCCAGTATGTGGTGGTGTGGTATGCTTGCCCCTCTTTTGCCGACTATCATAGCAGTTTCTGTTTCGTGATTTACAATGTCAGGCAGAGGAAAGCAGGGAGGCAAAGCGAGGGCTAAGGCAAAGTCTCGCTCCTCGCGGGCTGGGCTGCAGTTCCCGGTGGGTCGAGTGCACCGCTTGCTCCGCAAAGGTAATTATGCTGAGCGGGTGGGGGCCGGAGCCCCGGTCTATATGGCCGCGGTGCTCAAGTATCTGACTGCTGAGATTCTCGAATTAGCTGGCAACGCTGCTCGGGACAACAAGAAAACCAGGATCATCCCCCGTCACCTGCAGCTCGCCATCCGTAACGACGAGGAGCTCAACAAACTGCTTGGGAAAGTGACGATCGCTCAGGGGGGTGTCCTGCCCAACATCCAGGCTGTGCTGCTCCTGAAGAAAACTGAGAGCCACAAGGCCAAGAGCAAGTGAAACTGATCAGAAAGCAGCAAAAAATCTTTAAAGCTGCTATCTAGTTCTCCAGAATCTCAGCTTTAATTTTTTTAAAAAGGATCTAGCTGTTATGGTTGTGAAGAAAATCTCAAAAAGGTGAACTGAAACCAGACATCTACTTGAGTCTGCAGAGAGACCTGATAGCTCTGAGCTATTGAATTCTGCCCTGTTCAGCTCATTTAGGCATTAGCTCAGATGCCTAGTGATGATTTAAATGCCAACATTGTTATCTATTTCATTCCTCATGTAAGAAAAGAGAGGGAAGATCATGGATCTACACAATTTACTGTGTCATTTTGCTGCCACATGTGTGTGGCAATTGGGAGAGTCTCACTACTTCAATTTTTTCACCACTGAAGAAGGAATCAAGCCCAAGGAGCCTAGCAGAGCCAGTGGGCACATTCAAGCAGCGCTTGAGGTAGCCAGTGGAGCTCACAGAACAATCATGATCTTATACATCCACATAAGCTACAGTAGCATCTCATTTTGGCAACTCACATGGGGCAGAGCTTATTTTGTAGGCAGAGTTTAGAAGAGTGCCACTGCGTGACACTCCCTGCCTCACTGTGGACCCTGGTTGAAACTGGGAATTGTTGCATATAAAGCCTCTTGACAAAAGATAGGTGAGAAGGGAACATAAGCGATCAACAAAAATGACCCTAATGGTTGTTTGCTGGATCTCTACCAGTTTAAGAAACAAAAAAATTGTTGAGTTTCCTGGCAGTAGTATTGGCCAATAGAAAAAATGGCTGCTTGACCTACAGAGTCAGCTTATAGGTGAATGAGAGAGCTTCTTGAACCAAAAACAGACTATTTATGATCCCCAAACATGGTGAGAACATATTTGCCAGGCCCTGTGCCCACCGAAGTTATTGGCAAAAGTCCCACTGATATCAGTGGATTCAGGATGGCGCTCTTAAAGTATTAGATTTTTTTCTTTTTTTTCCTGACCTAATTAGACTTGAGTTCAGGATTCCTTACTTCCTCTGAAAAGATTGCTGACATCAGTAACATTTAGCAGCAAAACTGATAGTGGGCCAGATAATGTTTTAGGCACAGCCTAATGCAGAACTGCACCAACCCAGCAAGGGCTCTGGGGAGCATTTTGCCTGAGAGAGATACATTGGCCAGGTCCTCGGCCTCCAATATGTCCTTTTGCACTGCTCCATGTCACACAGGTAAGGTGAGGATTCCTCTTGGGGAATCCTCAGCTCGCACAAAGCCAGCTATACCAGACCTACACTGTCCTCTGTGGTAAGATGAAATAATATACAGGGCCTGTGGCAGAAGCACTTTGCACTCTGATGAGCCTCAACAGGATAACAGACCCTGTGGGGCTATTGTCAGTAAGTTAGAGCAGCCTAACGTATGCTGCTGCCCTCAGACCCGAGGAATACAAAGCCATCTTTGTTGTGCCATCACCCACACCTTGAATCTGGCATGAAGTGCATCTCAGACAGACTTGATGATCTGGTCTAAGGCCTCTCAAATCTCCTAGGGAATGCAGTCACTGCACCACCCCTTAAGAAGATGGAGTCTACAACCCCTTCATGGCCAGCCAGCTCAGCTCTACTCTACTGGCAAGTGTGAAGCATAGAGTGGATTGTTTCTCAGGGAGAACTAGCGGAGTTTGTAGTTGTGTCTGGCCCCTTTAGTCTGGGCTACTGAGGAATAATTGACACTGTGCTAAAAATGCAAGAAGCTGCCAGGTGCTTGTCTATGCTAGGGCTAATGAAGCTAACATGGATGCAGCAGAAACATTGGTAATACCAATGGGAATTTCTTCTTAAAATTCCTTAGGGTAAGATAGATAGGGACGTAGGAGGAAGGCTCTGTGCATCTTCTCTAATTTATTCACCCATGCAAGGACCAGAGATAATCTAGCTCATCCTGTTTAGGTGCTAGAGATACCTAAAGTGTTTTCTAAGTTTTGGTAAAAGACAGAATCATGGACCTTAGGACTCGATGAGTAAATAGAGGAGGAGCTGCTTTTTAGACATTTGGTTTAAAGCCCTGTTAATTTTTATATGTGCAGATATTTTATTGATAATTTTGCATTTTACAGGGGTTTGTTTTAATTAAAGAGGCTTTTGCATTTACTTTTAGGTTAATATGGGAGAGTCTCATGGTGGAGAATCTGAAATGAGAGATTACAAAAATGAAAGAGTTATCTAGAAGGATAGCTGCTAATTAGTATTATTTTGAAATTCCAACCCCCCTGCTTTGACATGAACCAGTCTTCAGAACTTTCTCTTAGCTGATATGGACACACTCCCTCCATTAGAGCTTAATGTAGCTGATTAAATGTAGATTATTTGAGTTATGCCAAAAGGTAAGATAGATAGGCCTTTTTGTGATGCTGTGTTTAGTATACACACAGAAAAAGCTGAATGTATTAAAATCTTTCTTGATTACTTTTTTATTCGATACATATTAATGCAAGAATCAAGTACATCATTAAAATCTATAGCCAATGACATTTACAAATGGCCAAGAATATTTCAAACAACTTTTCCCACCTGTTCCTTAGAACCAGAAAATATAGCTCTATTAATCAGTGACCATTATTATAGTTTATACAATGCCCCAAAGCATAGCAGACACTGTATGCAAATGACTGTAATGTGCAAATGCCTTTATAAATAAAGAAGTCATCTCCTTTGATGAAAGAAACTCACAACAGGTGTTAGGGGTTCAGTGCTTTTGTACTGAAATACCTCAGGAATTAATTCATCATACCGTGCATATGCTTTTAAGCTTTCATGCTATGTTTTAAAACGGCTCCTACTATGTACAGCATTGCAACATGCAGCATTTAACAAGGGTCTTCCAAGAAGCTAGAGATGAACATTGCCAGTGACATTGATCTCCCTCTGTTTTTTCATACAGCAAGGATATATATACCCAGGGCACAGTGAACATAACAGAGGGATTAGGAAGGGCTGTAAAAAGAGATGAGTGCCATTGATCCCAGTCCTCCCCAAATCACAAGTAACCCTGTGAAACTATCCACAGCAGGCTACAGAGATCCTCCTCCTCTCCAGTGCCTGGCCATCTGACCCTGAACACTTCACCTGGCCACTCAAAAATGCCAAGTTGGAGTGATCAGCCCCAGAAGAGAGGGACACTAGAAAAACAGCTGCCTTGGAAGAGATACGTGGATGAGACAAACAACAACTCTCGGGGGTCTAGTGTCATTTTGGATTCAGGCTCTGAACCATGGGTCTCTGTGGCCTAGCTTCTCCCCACTCACTCAGGGAAAGCCACAGATGGTTTGGCCTTGTGCTTACATTTTATGAAAGTCAAGTACATCAAAGCCCCCTGCTTCAAAAGCCTGCAACTTAAAACTGCTTTTGAAAATCCCAGTAAGCTGAGTTGCCGGTAGCCTTTAGCTTCCCTGCAGATGAGATGGGGACACTGCTGCCCCGGGGAGGAGCCTAGTCGGCAGCCCACCCTGCTCACTGCTAGGAATGCACCAGAAACCCCTCGGTCACTTTTAGCCTCCAGCCTCCCTCCTGTGCAGCTCCAGGGATCGGGCTGCTCCCAGCAGCGCAGGGCTCCGCGCGTCCTTCACTGCCCGTTCTTTAGAACCCCACCCAAGTTTGCTACGATGTCAGCCGTGCGCCCGCTCCGCTGCCCTGAATGATCCTCGGTGCCAGGCACCCACCTCAAAGAAAGTGACTCTGCTGCCCATCCTAGGTGCTGATTGCGAACGTTGTGCCCGGCTCTGGCTGCTGGGGCAGGGAGCGGAGCCGCCGCCGCCTCCTCTTCCTAGAGCTGCTGCACTTTAACTCGGGTCCCCGGCGCGCCGGCCAATCAGGAGATGTCCACTGCCCTCCCCTTCCTTCCCTTGGGTTCAGAAATCCTACCGCGAGGGCTGCATGCGGTTCAGGGCAGCGCTGCCATCCCCTGTCCCGTGCATCACTCCCTCCCCCATCCCCACGTGCTGTCTGCAGCCAGGCTGCGCTGAGCTCAGCGTCCCCACAGCAAGGGAAGGAAGGAAGATCCGGCCACACGCAAGCCAGGATGCAGCTTCTGCTGCCTTAGGAGCACGTCCAGGACTGCTGTTTGCTATTTGCAGGCTGAACAGCACCGAATGCCTACTGCAAACACAGAGCATGTAACGGTAGAAATGAAAGGCTGGAAGAGATCTGGAGAAGTCATCAAACCCAGCCCCCTCTGCTGAGGTAGGACTAAGTATACCTAGACCATCCTTGAGAGGTGTAAAACTTCCAATGATGGGGATTCCACAACCTCCCTTGGAAGCCTATTCCAGATCTTAAATGTCCTTATAGATAGAAATTTTTTGCTAAGAGCTAATCTAGCTCTCCAGTGAATATTGAATACTGGACCCACAGCTGATCCCTGTGGGACTTCATGAGATACATCCCCCCAGTTTGACAGTAAACCATTAATAATTACTCTTTATGGTCTTTCAAGCAGTTGTGTATCCACATGATAATAATTTCATCTAGCCCACATTTCCCTAGTTTGCTTATGAGACTATCCCATGAGAGTGTATCAGAAGCCTTACTATATCGCATCTACTACTTCCCCCCATCACTAGGCCAGTAACCTTATAAAAAAAGGAAATTATGTTGGTTTGGCATGATTTGTTCATGACAAATCCATGCTGGCTATTCTTTGTAAACCTCTTGTCCTCTAAGTGCTTATAAATGGATTATTTAAATTTGATCTAGTATCTTTCCAGGCATCAAAGTTAAGCTGATTGGTCTATAATTTTCCAGGTCCTCTTTGTTCCCCTTTTTAAAGATTGGTACTGTGTTTGCCCTTCTCCAGTCCTCTGGGACCTCATCTATCCTCCACAAGTTCTTAAAGATAATTGCTAATAATGGTTCCAAGATTGCTTCAGCTAGTTTCTTAAATACTCTAAGATGAATTTCATCTTGGCCCTGCCAACTTGAATACAGTATATCTAATTTATCTAAATGTTCTTTAACATATTCTTTCCCTATTTT